TCGTCCTCGAGTCACCAGAATACCGTTCTCAGTTGATACCAGATCACGTGGTAAGCCATCCGTATTCCACTGCCGTATCTCATAAGGATCCCCTAGGATGTTTATTAGGCTGAAGTCACCACTTATTGGGATCTCAAGGAGGACACACTGTTCAATCCAGCAATCTATCAGCTGCCAGAGAGGGGAGAGCTTATTAGATGTGTGTCCAAAGGACAACAGAAAGAGCAGCAGTTTGGGAAAAGAAGAAATTCCACAAAATTACGGCAAAGCATCACAGAAAGAACTCAACCTAGAAACAAGAAAAGGAGAGTTTTAATTCTAGTTCTCCCAATTATTAGTTGTACAGCTTCAGGTAGATCACTTAGTCTCTATGAGTCTCAGTTTCTTCATTCATAAAATGGAAACAAAACCACTCGTAGTATCTATCTCTTAGTGTGAGAGGCAGATAAAGTAACATGCAAAGCATTTTGTACTTGGAAAGCACTGTATTACTATCAGGAAATTAAAGTGAATTAATCGATGTTCATGAAGAGGGCCCTGAATCATCCAAATCAATTATGTTCGGCATGCTCTGCTTAATAAGTCAAGCATTTCAGAAGGATGGCCCTTTAAAAGGCTTAAAGGCATTCAGGCATTTAAATAGATTGTACGTATCTCAAAAATTTACACATAGGGTATACTTCATTTCCTAACCATGCTAGATAAAGGACATGCTGCTTTATCATAGCAATGCATATTCATGTAGTTCTTTCAAGTTTATAAAAGCCTTTTTCACAACAACCCCCTGAGATCAGAAGCTCCCTTTTACTGACGATGGGCCTCAGGCTCAGTGAGGTCAAATAATTCTAATACCTAGCACTTGTTGATCATGCTCTTCTCCTTGATACTGTCTTCACTCTAAGTTTTTGGGACTCCCCCCTCCTGGTTCTCCTCATACTAATCTGACTGCTCCTATTCTGCTTCCTGTGCTGGACCCTCCTCCAGATCATGCCCTTTAAACGTAACTGTCCCTCAGAGCTCTGTCCTGGACCCTCTTCTCTTCTCCCTCTATACTGCTTCACTCGGTGATCTCATTAGCTCCCATGGATTTAGTTACCACCATCTCTATGCTGATGATGATCAAATTGACCTATCTTGCCCCAGACTCTCTGCTGGCCTCCAATCTCACATCTTCAACTGTTTTTCTGACATCTTGAACTGGATGTCCAGTAGCCCTCTTGAACTCACCATGTTCCAAACAGAACTTGTTATCTTTTCCCAGAAACCCTCCCCACATCCTATCTTCCCTATGACTGTAAAGGGCAACACCATACTCCTAATTCCTCTGGCTCCCCACCTAGGAATTATCCTAGATTCCTCCCTCTCTCTCATCTACCACATCCAAGCAACACGTTTTGAATATTCCCCCTTCTCTCTTCTGACACTCCCATCCTGGTCCAGGCTCTTGTCACCTCCCCCTGTATAGCCTGCTGGAGGGTCTGCCTGCCTCAAAGCTCTCCCACTCCAGTCCATCCTCCATTCAGTAACTAAAGTGATTTCTCCAAAGTGCTGGTCAGACCATGTCATCTTCCCACTCAAAAAATTCCAGTGACTCCAACACAAAATTCTCTGCTGGATATTCAAAGCCCTTCCTAGCCTATTCTCTTATCTTTCCAGTCTTTTTACACCTTATTCACTGATGTGTTTGATCCAGTGACACTCTTATCTTTCCAGTCTTTTTACACCTTACTCACTGATGTGTTTGATCCAGTGACACTGGCTTTCTCAATGCTCCATGAACAAGACCCTCCATTTCTCTGCTTCAGGAATCTTATCTTCTCTGGCCCAGAACACTCTCCCTCCTCCACTCTGACTATTGACCTCCCTGGCTTCCTTTAAATTTCATCTAAAATCTCATCTTCTGCTGGAAGCTTTTCCCAACCTCTCTTAATTCTAGTGCCTTCCTTCTCTTAATTATTTCTTATATATCTTGAATATAACTTTTGTTTTTTATGTTTGCTTGCATGTTGCCTCCCCCATTAGACTGTAAGCTCCTTGAGGGAGGGACTGTCTTTTCTGCTCTTTTTGTATGCTTAGTGCTTAACGCAATGCCTGGCCCATAGTAGGCTGTTAATAAATGTTTATTGACTGACTGACTGCATATAGTACTTTAAAGTTTGCAAAGCATTTTACAAATATTCCATTTGGTGCTCACAACTACCCTGGGAAGTAAGTGCTATTATTAGCCCCATTTTATAGAGGAGAAAACTGAGGCATAGAGAAGTTACATGACTTGTTAGTATTCCATTTGTATTACCATGTTCAAATACTCATCTGTGTTATGACTCTATTCTTAGCTAGAATCATGTTTCATTTTTAAACGAAGTTTCATGTGTAATGGATGTACTCAAAAAGGTAATATAATGAAGTTACGGATTCATAAGATTTTCCTGATTATAAAAGTAACAAACTTCACTGTTTAAAAAAGGGGTGGGGTGGGGCAGAGCAGGACACAGAAGCTTATTGGGAGGCGGGACAGGGCAAAAAGGAATCGCGGCGGCACCACTAGCTAGAGCAGTGAGTAAGAATGCCATTCTGCTTCCAAAAGTAGGAGTGTCCAGGGATCTGGGAAGTCTGCGAGGCACACCCCTGTAGGGACACATTCCGAGGAAGGTTCTCGACACTCCAGATCCAAGTCGAGGTCCAGGTCGGAGTCTTGACTGAGATCCAGAAGAAGTTCTCGAAGGCACTATAATAGATCACATTCTCGCTCCCCCTCCCACAGACGATGCTGAGCAGGTCGTACAGTTGAGATGAGCGAAGGCAACATAGCCAGAGTTACTCTTCTATGTCTACCCGTAGGCATCACGTGGGGAATCAGGGTGTTTGGATTGAGTCTATACACGGAGACCTCAGAGAAGTATTTTCTGTATACTTTTTTTGCGGAGTACCCATCGTGGATGACCAGCAGTCCTGGCGCTCCTGGGGGTTTGCCTTTGTTTACTGTGAGAATATGGATGATGCCAAGGGAGCCAAAGAGAGTGCCAATGGAAAGGAGCTGGATGGGCGAGGATCCAAGTGGATTTTTCTATGACAAAAAAGACCCCATGTCCCAACCCCTGGGATCTACATGGGAAGACTCCTTATGGCAGTCCCTGCAGTGATTACTACGATCAAGGCTTTGATGATCGTAACTATTACAGCAGATCTTACAGAAAAAGAGGTGGTGGAGGAGGAGGGTGGAGAGCTGCCCAAGACAGGGATCAGATTTACAGGAGGCCATCACCATCCCCATATTACAATCCTGGGGGTTACAGGTCACGGTCCCCATCTTGATCTTATTCACCTACTCACTGTGAAAGCATGAAGATCGTGGATTTCTGAAATGGGATTTTGTTTTGTGAACAATATTTTTTTATTGTCTCATGTTTAAATGTGAACAGTGCTTACTGAATAGGTGACATTTACACCTTTTATGAAGACTGTTTTTGGTGGAGTTGAAATGCTGTTTTCTTTCTGCATTTGTGTAGCTTGGTGCTTTGATCAAAGTTAAGTTCTTTTTCAGAGAAGTATGTTTTGCACGTATTTTTTTACAGTCTAAATTTTGACTGCTGAGAAGTTTCTATTGTAGAAAAACTTTATTTAAAAGGTTTTTCTACTGAATCCAGGGCAACCTGAAGATTCGCCATTTGTGTAAAATGCCTCCAAACGGTAAACCAACAATAAAACAGTTTAATTTCTACTTTTCTTTTCACCACATCAGTGCTTAGGAAAACTGAATTTTCCAATTAGTCTGTGGAAAGTAAAGTCACATGCCTTGCCATTTAGAGAGCACCGTATTTAATATATCTACAACTGAGTGTTACGATTATAATATTGTGTAACTGTATTACAAGTATTAGAACTAACGGTATTTCTATCCAGCAGTTGCTTACTGCTTGTCTGAATGTTGTTTGTGAAGCCTTTATATAAGCTGTGCAAATAGCAAGTGAGGACAATAGTTCCAGTCTAACGGAGACCTTGAGGAAGACCTGCCTTCCTCACAGGGTTGTTCTGGAGGTGGTAATGTTGAGCTTTCGGTTGTCAATGAATAAAGGGACCTTCCATCACAAACGTAATCTTAATTTTCTGGCTTTAGATTACAGATAAAAATGGGTGCCTCATAAAGGATGGGAGAAAGGAACACTTCAGCAGTTTGATGAGTAAACTGAAGACTTTGCCTGTTAAATTTCAAAAACTATTTTGAGATCCTTTTGCTTACCACAGGAGGCCTGACTCACTCAACTGTTTTGAGACCTGTGTTTAAATAAACTGTTAATTAAAAAGAAAAAAAAAGGTGGGGGGAAGGCAACTAGGTAGTGCAGTGGATAGACAGCACCGGCCCTGGAGTCAGCAGGACCTGCGTTCAAATCCTCACCTGTATTATGTGGTAATACACCGACTGACGTCAGCTCCCAGTGGATTCAGCGTTGGAGGCGCGGGTGCTACCGGCGCTCACGTTCATTTTTCAGTCTCACGTCCCGCGTCCGAGTGAGGAAGGCACCGAGTAGCCCCGGCTCCGCCGGAGGAAAGGCTTTCACTCCCATATGAATTACGGAAATCCTCCACCCTACTCGAACTCAAGTCCAACTGCCCCATATTCACCACATGTACAGCATGGTGGTTCTCAAGCTTATCCTTCTGCTGGGCCTCCAGGGCCATATCCATCCCCTAATGCAGGGTATCCATACCAAGGCTATCCACAATATGGCTGGCAGGGCGCACCCTCTCAAGGACCGACCAGGGTGTATGTGGTGCAAGAACAAAGAAAGACTAATCCGATCCAGTCTAACTGCCTCACAGCTTGCTGGACTGCTCTCTGCTGCTGCTGCCTTCTTGACGCGCTAGACGACTGACCAGCCTCAGCTCCTCTTACCACAAGGCTTTTGTGTCATCGATTGATGGGGTTCTGAGTCCTGATCTTTCCATTGCCATAGAGTTCTGCCCAGATAGCTCAACAACAGCATAATGGAATCCTAGGTTATCAGTGATTTTTTTGCTGTTTAATTTAGTGACACGATCTTCTAAATGTTCATTTTCTAATTTATTGTCATAGTTTAACAAATGTGCTAAATGATTTTTTTGGCCAAAGGCTTGAATATGAAGTTTATATTTATCATTTTAAATTGTACTGTTCACAGCAGTGGCAAAATATGCAACAATAGAAGCCACTGCATGATTTCTTTCCTAACTCCCTAATCATGTTTCAATACTGTCTTGTCAATAAATTTTTCAAAAGTAAAAAAAAACTTGGGGCAGCTAGGTGGCACAGTGGAAAGGGCACTAGCCCTAGAGTCAGGAGGACCTGAGTTCAAATCGGGCCCCAGACACTTGACACTTAACTAGCTGTGTGACTCTGACCAAGTCACTTAACCCTGATTGCCTTGCCAAAAAAAAAAATCATGTTAATCATAGCACAAAAAACCCCCAACTTTCTTAACTTAGGTATGACACTAAAACAAATTTTCCCCATCCCTAAACCTTCCAAACACCCCAATTTGTAGTTTTTAGGGAGAAGACCCTTTCCATCCCTGAGCTGTAGTTTCTACCCTTAAGACTTCTCATTCAACCACTCCCAGGCTCTGGACATGTTATATTAGGATGGCATGAAAAAATGAATGGGAAAAAAATCTATTTTATTAAATTGTCTCACAGTCCTCCAGCTGGCAGGGGGTGGGGAGAATGTAGTCAAGAGGTAGACTTTTCTTAGGGCCCTAAGAAGAAAGGATTTGGGAAAGGTGTCTTCTCTTTAGGACAGAATAGGAAAACATGCTCCCTGGGCTTTAGGAAGAACATGGGTGTCTGGGTAAATCAGATACTGGTGCTGATTTGTGACTTTGATTTGGGGTGAGTGGAGAAGAGAAAAGGCAAGGAAGACCAAAGGGCAAAACTCAGTTCCCCTACTCCAAACTCCTCTCCACTCTCCAGTGTGGTTCGGTGGGAAGGGAGAAAGGAGAACATTGCTCAGAGATTGCTGAGGAGTTTTTTTTTTTTTTTTTTGCTCCAGTCCACTGTCAGGGATATGTTGAAGTCCAAAATGCGCTCAGAGGAGGAAGATGTAGAAGAGGTTAGAGTGGAATCTTGTTTCTTGAGACTGTCCTAAGAATCTGTCTCAACACTAGTTTCACTAAGTGTAGATCTTGAGGCTGGTTTGTGGCTCTCACACACCTCTTCAATTTAGGTGGCACTGCTCCCCTCCTCTACCTTTCCATTGGCAACAGGCTCTGGCAAGGCACCACTCAGGTGCTCCTGGGTTGGTATCACTTTACACTTTTTGAATAACTCATCTTTCTCGTTGTCCACAACCAGCAGCTTGGTCTCATCTCTGCCAGCCTTGATGGCATCCACCACATCCCCCATGCTGTTTCCCTTCCATACAGATCCCATTCACCTCCACAGTCCGTTCCTGGACCTGGGGCGCTGAAGCCTCAGCTGGTGAGTTGGAGTCCACAGAGCAGATGTACTGGCCAGGTTTAGACTTGTCACTCTGCAGTTCGTCGAAGTCATAGCCACTGGGACCCTTTCTCATAGCACAAAGTCGGGGCCTCAGCTCCCTCCGTTGACTCTTCTCTTCCCGCGGCTCCCCGGCCGTTCCTAGCTGCTGCTTCTCACCTCCATCCGTCCGCTCCCCCGCGGCCCTCTGCGGGGTGGGGGCTCGGTCCTCTGCGGCGTGGGCACGGCCCTCTGCGGGTGGGTACGGCCCTCTGCGGGGTGGGGGCTCGGTCCTCTGCGGCATGGGCACGGCCCTCTGCGGGGGGGTCTGGGCCCTCTGCGGGGTGGGTACGGCCCTCTGCGGGTGGGCTCGGCCCTCTGCGGCGTGGGCACGGCCCTCTGCGGGGTGGGGGCACGGCCCTCTGCGGGGTGGGGGCTCGGCCCTCTGCGGCGTGGGCACGGCCCTCTGCGGGGTGGGGGCACGGCCCTCTGCGGGGTGGGGGCTCGGCCCTCTGCGGGGTGGCCGAGCCTGGATGCCTCGCTTCTGCAGGCGCTCGACGGTCTCCTGACTCCACCGCAGGCGCACGGAGTTGAGCGCGCCTCAGCTGCGGCTCACCACCTGCTGGCACTCTCCTGCTCCACGGTCTCGCCCTTGGTCACCGGCCAGCAGTCCCGCCTTCTCGGCCGGCGAGCCTGGCTCCACGCGCTGGATAAACTGTCCCACTGTGCCCTTTTCGCCGTAGCCATTCGGCCCTTTTTCCAGGTTACAGAGCCGGGGCAGGGGCTGCCGGAGTACCCGTCTGCGCTCATCTTGCTCACGGGCAGCTCAAGGGCTCGCAGCTGGGGCCAGTTCACTAATCACCCCCTCCTACCCCCACCCCTTGCCCCAGGAGGCGGGGATCCGGGATGAAACACAACAAGGAACCCCCCAGCCCGCGAAGAGGGAGTGGGTATCTGGGAAGGGGTCGCTGCGAACTCCTCTAAGCGCCAAAGGAAAGTGAAGGGATCAATGACAGTTCCGCACAGTGTTGGGGGGTTCCAGAACCTGTCACCGCCCCTTATCCCGGGGGAGGGGCTGCTCAGGCCCCGTTAGGAACCAGAGGAGAAAGCGGGATGGGGTGGGGTGCAGTATCCCCGGTGGAGTAGTACAAACTAGAAGTATCTAAGGTAGGGTTTGCGCTCAGGTCTTCCTGACTCCTGGGCCATTACTGTCTCTACCATGCCACCTAGATGCCATCATGCCTTACTTCTGGTCACACAACTAGTCAGAGTCAGGATCTGAATTTCCCTTTCGCCTCTAAATCTAATACTCTTTCCTCCCTATTGAATAGACTTTTTATGGCTAGGAAAGAGTAGAAACTGAGGTTTGCTGAGTGGCATCCGGAGAACTCCCCATTCCTTCCATGCCCTCCTCCTTCCTCCCCTGGCCCAACACTACCAAGAAGCTTGCCCCCTAAGAGTAATTCCTCTGTGCTTTAGGTTGCATTGGCTGCCCTGCTGCTTGGCTCCAGGACGTGGGGACCAAGGTCCCCAAGAATGGGGGAAGGTGAGGGTAGCAGAACTAGATGGGGAGCCAGGTAGCTGGTATTGGGACATGGTTGGGGGACTGGCTCTCTGCTTCCTGGCCTGCTCTTTAGTGTCTCAGGAGGACAATACCTCTTTCCGAGTGTTAGAGGCTTCCCAGGTGATCATGGAAGAACTGGTAGACCTTGCCTGGTGAGGCAATGTGAAGGCATAAAATGGCACTGGTGAAAGACCTGGGCCACAGGGGTGCGGATCCTGTAGCCTGGAGGCCACATGTGGCCTTCTAGGTCCTTTTGACTGAGTCCAAGTTTTACAGAACAAATCCTTTTATTGAGGATTTATTCAGTAAAACAAGTGCACTTCAGGCACTAGAGGGCCACATGTGGCCTTGAGGCTGCAGGTTCCCCACCCCTGAGTCCTGGAGCCTTGTAAAAGTCAAAAGGAGCTCAGGGCAGAAAGGAAACAAACAGTGACTTTGTAAGGTTGCAGAAGGAAAGACAAGAAGGGCCCAGGTAACTATGTGGTGGGACAGTGATGGTGTAGGGTTGGGGGAGAGGGACCTGGGCCTCATGGGAGAGAGGAGGCCTTTGGAGCAGGTGGCTCATCCCTGTCTTCATTAAGATAAGACCTGGCAAAACCTAGGAAAAAACAGAAGACTCATTCACTCCCATGGCTCCCCATGCTTTTTCACTCACCAACTGCCTGTAATGGGCTGTGAAAGCACCGTAGTATGCCACGCACGCAGCAGCGATGAACACGTTCCCAGTGATGTTGGCGATCTCACTTTCAAAGTTCCGGATGCTTTCTTCCCATCGGACTTGCTCATCCCCCAATGCAGCTGTGAGCTTACCAGCACGGGTGAGGCGCGCTTGAGTGAGGTCCATGGTTTTGGCTAAATAATTTTAAGAAAACTGGGCTGTAATTATCAATGAACATTCTAAGATAGTACAGGTTTATTCTTCCTTTCTCCACCTCTAGCACAATTAGTGTTTATGTAGTAAATGATACCCAATCGAAAGAGTGAACCAGATTCTGCTTTTGAACTCAGGGAATCACATTCACTCTGTCAGACCCTGAGGACACCATTAAGTGGTTGGGGTTTTGTATGTGGTACCGTATACACAAAGTAAAAAAAAGAAATGTGGTTCCATTAATAAGAGCTGGCATGCCTCCAACACACAGCATTTTTATTCCTCCAAACTCTTATTTTATTTTGTATTTTGATTTTCACATTACTAATCAATCCTACTCTGATGGTTCATTGTGGGGTTGAGGTGACACCTCATTGGTTTCTTTGCCTTTGTTATAAAGGCAAAAGGCAGGTCAAGAAATTACCAGTTCTTCTAATTTGGGGAGAGGGAAGGGAGAGAGAGACAGACAGACAAAAACAGAGAGACAGACAGAGACGGAAACAGAGAGATAGACATAGACACAGAGAGAGATGGGGAGAAGAGACATAGACAGAGACAGACAGACACACACACAGAAAAAGAGAGAGAGAGAAAGAGAGAGAGAGAGAGATAGAGAGAACAAGATAGAGACTATAAAAGACAGAGACAGAGTGACAGAGAGGCAGAGAGAGACAGAGGCAGAGAATGAGAGAGACAGAGAGGCAGACAGAAACTGAGACACAGATCCAGAAAATTGAAGACCCCTATTACCATTATTTTATGTCTCCCTGCCAGGCTGGTAATGTTCCTCACACATGTCCATGTCTCTTCTGTGTCCAGGTAGTTGTAGTATTTCCAGAGCAATATCGCTTCTATTTTCTCCATCAGTTTTTACCACAAACGCTTACCTCCATGCTTTACCTCTGGTCCCTGGACATATTACTAATCAACAATATTGCCCATACCCCTCATATCTGTTCTGTTCCTTTCAAAAAAGATCTACATTTCAAAAGGTCTCTTCCAGTCATGGTCCCATCCCATCAAGTCTCAATGACACCTATGAAGTAAAATCTGTATCTCTGCCTTTGAGTCTCTAGTTCTGCTCATTTGCTCTCTATGAACTGAACATCTGGGGAGAAGCATAGAACGGAAGCTCCTTGAGGGCCAGGGACAGTCTCTTTTTGTCTTTATCTCTCCAGATTCCAGCACCATGTCTGGCACTAAGTCTGTGCCCACATTATGTTTAGTAAATGGGGTTTAATGTCAGGTAATTTCTTATATTTTTAGATTCCGTGAATTACTGGGCATCTTTTCCATTATTTTTCTTCCTGTGCTGTAGCTGATATTCTCATTGTAATTTCTATATCTATAATCTTTATCAATTTCAATATTTGCCCTATTCCCAAGGAAAAGGCAAATTCTTTGAGAGTGAGGATGATGCCATTTCCCAAGTATACATACATAATACATATTCCTGATGCACGACATTTTCCAGACTTTCTCATTTTTGCTTTTCAGGGTATCTTCCTCCAAGCCTCAGTTCAGGTGCTACCTTTTCTATGTAACCTTCCCCAAATCCTTTGGCTAAAAATCTCCTCTCCCTCCTCAAATATTCCCAGACCACCTTGTCTGGCTTTCTCTTTTGCCCTCATCGTGCTTCAACTCTGGCCTTACAATTCTGAGACCATGTCACCCCTCCCCCACTCCCACCCCCAAGTAGACCTGAGAGCAGGCATTACCTTTTTGCTTTTTTTTGCATTTCCAACACTTAAAGGCCCAGTGCCTGGCACAGAACAGATGCTTAATAAATATTTTGTTGACAGACTTCCGGGGGGGTGGAGCCAAGATGGCGGAGTGAAAGCAGTGACTTGCTTGAGCTATCCCCCAAACCCCTCCAAATGCCTGTAAAAAATGGCTCTAAACAAATTCTAAAGCAGCAGAACCCACAAAAAGACAGAGTGAAACAAATTTCCAGCCCAAGAGAACCTGGATGGTTGATCAGGAAGGTATATCGCGCCAGGTGGGGAGAGGAGCGCAGTTCAGCGTGGGTGCGCAGGCCTCAGCAACCCTGGAGCAGACCTGAGAGGACTGAATCGCAGGAAGCTATGGCGGTTTCCAGACTTCACAACCCACTAACGCCAAAGGCAACTTAGAAGGTCAGTGGGAAAAGTCTGTGACTGCGGTGAGAGAACGAGCTAGGTCTCAGCCACCCCCAGGGCAGCGGCTGCCTTCTGAGCTTCCGGCCCACAGACTGAGGGGGAATAGAGTGGTTGATCAGAGGGGGATTGCAGGGATCTCTCTGCCAGTGCTGAGGCAGGAATCTCTTGCTGTGCCCCTGCTTGGATCTGGGTCACAGTTCTGAGGGGCGGTCCTGGGGCTAGGAGGAGTGCTGGCCTGGTGGAGCTTGTTGTGGCAGTGGAGAGGAAACACCCCACCCCTTATCCTACCACTTTGGAAGAACTGAAAATTTACAGGTCCCTAGAAGTACCTCTGAAAACAGCTGTA